ATATATAATTATTATTATTATTACAAACAGAAATAAAAAATACATGCAACACATAATGTAATTGTTATGAGGTATTTCTGATGGTCCGGGCATAAACAGGAAGAAAAGGTGTAGTCTATTGATTACTGGGTAGTGGAAAGGGGGGATTAAATAAGTTTATGCTTCTTCCTGCTCCTTTTTGATCATGAAAACTTTTTGTTGTTTTGTTGTTGTTGTTGTTTTGCTTTGTTTGTCTCTTTTTATTTCTCCGTTGTTGTACTTTAAAAAAAAAAAAAGAAGATTCAATTCAATCCCCGAAAGGGCAACAAACCAACACATTTTTCCTGATAATTATCCTGTAACTTTACTGAATAAAGAAATAAAACCTCCAACATTTCAGGGGCAGACATTCGTTATAAGAACTGTTTGTGAACTAAAAATCAAGATGACGGATACTATTTGTCCGTGATTTGGAAAGCCCGGTGCGTGCTCGCCACGCAGCGGAAACAAATTCTCTCGGGGATATCTACCGTGAGGTTGACACGACACCTGGACGGGTAGCGTTCCAGAGCAACGAGAGACGGTCAAACCCATGTGTGGTACACTTGCTTTTCAGGAGCTGCTACCGACAAACCAGGAAATAACAGCTGAATATTTCATCTGTGACACTTATGAGGTTGTGTGAGGATATGTTGAGCAGTGCAGCATCAAAAGCAATGAATTCGAAGGAAAAATGAGGACGGAGTCAACAACATCCGTAAGTTTTAAACACCGATACACAGTCCATCCTCTCTTTCAAGGCTCACTTGGTCAGTGGCGTGATGACGTAGGTCACGTACCTTCACGGCGAAACTGTGCCAACTGAAATACTGCGTTTCAGTTAAATAACAATAACTACAACGCAGCCCAACACATTTCACAACTAGAGAACACAAATTGAATATCTCAGCATTTTTGGTCTTGACCAATAAAATAGTAAAAACTGTCTCGACTTTACCTGGTGATATTCTCATGCACGAGGCGACCGCGAAAACGCCAAACAAACGTCACCACACCGATTCAGTTCACACGACGGTAAGAGCCAACGATCTGGAAAATCTTGTCTTCGTTTTTACTCCTCCGCATTTTGTTGCTCCGATTCACAGCGTTCACAACTAAAGTGTGCAGTTTGGTTTGTGTGCACTCAAACAGAGTCGAGTCAACTACTGCCACCTGTAGCCAAGTGTCATAGACTACAACCAAACACATCTCTGTCACCGCGTTTTTATTCCCGTGTGCACAATACATTTGTAACTTTGCGTTTTTCGTTGTGGCGTCATGCAAAAAAAAAAACTTTAAACTAAGTGAAATTGTATTGTGTATTTATTTTTTGGCCTTCATTGGTAAGAAATACCTAATTATAGCTATACACAAAGTTCTAGAAATCACCACTCCTATTCACAGATGAAATGGGAGAAATGGCGAAACAGTGGCTGACACAGAGGAGATTGATATGGATCTTTGTTTATTACAGTGTTTATTTCCCTGTTTGTCGGTATCCCGAAAAGCAAGTCTACCGCATTTCTGTTTAACCGTCACCAGTTGATCCGCGACTCCAGTTAATCTCGAACACCGGACACGCTGGTCTCAATAAAAGAAGAAAACGAATATTAAACGATGAGAAAACTTTGTGTTGTGGTACGGCTACTAAGAATAAGTATTAAGTTTGAATCTGAAACGAAACGAAAACCGAAAGTGAACGCCTTGAATTGGGTTTCCTGAGTTGTTGTTATTGTCGTTGTTTTTCCTTTTACTAAGAGTCAATCTGGGCTTCAATCAGTGTTCAGTATTTTCGTTTGTTTACATCCTGGGTGTTGGTTTGAAGTGTTGAGGACAAATAGAAAACTGGATCTGAATTCACTTGCTCTAATATGAAGATCAGGATAAATGGTCACATAAATTTGGTCATCATGTATGTTAACTCAGGGTTTTCCCTGCACTTTCATAGGAAAGGGGTGGTGTTGGCAGTATCTGACCAGTCTAAAAGGGGCATTTCATTGGTCAGCTACATCAGAGATATTATCTAATGGTGGTTAAAAATCTTTATAATGATCTTATAGCTGGAGTATTACCTGCTCTGGAGCCAGCCGCAAGGAGTGAACCGTCAAAGAACAGAAAATCCAAGGTTAACCCAGAAGTAGTAGTGTATCTCCCACTATTATTATTAGTAGTAGTAGTAGTAGTAGTAATAGTAGTAGTATGTTAAACTTGTTTCTGTCTTACCTCACTATATTGTGCAGTTGTTAATATTTAGATGGTTATTCCTTGATTTTGATATTAAATGATTTTATAATAATGTTAGTGCACTATAGCATTAATAGATCACCATAAAACAGAACGCCTGCACTGTTCTTGCTGTCCTCATATCACATTTGTAGGTAGACTAAAGGACTTTTCTATAGGAAACAGCAGGCTAGATGGAGCACAAAGAAACCTTATTGCAATAGCAAAGTTATTCAGAACTAAAGCTGCTTTCCAATAGCAGGTTGGTAAAAGTCAAAGCCTCTGGAGGAGACTCTGACAGCACAAAAACAAGAATGTTGCGTTAGCACTCACCCTGCCTCAGCTCCACTTTTCCTCTTTCTGCTCTCAACACTAAATGGAGGCTGAAAGGACTTTCACCTTGGCTGCCATTTTCTCCTCCCATCTGCATTGACAGGAAATATTTTTTACCCAAAACTTTATTAGCAATTGCCAAGTATATACAGAACATCTTAATGCCAGGAATAAAAGGGAATAACAGTGGAGACATACTAAAAGAATAATAACAGAACAATAATACAAAATAAATATAATAGAGAATCACAACTTTACATAACATTTCTACAACATATCATTCATTTTAATTGCCTCTTTGTTTGCAAGTACTTTGACTGTGGTGCTGCATTGGTGAAGTTCTTGACAGACGTGATTAATATGTGGTTTGGTGAATATGATATTTTCCCAGGAGCAGCAGAAGTTGAATGAAGCAGGTGAAGTTTTTTTCCTCAAAACATGATACAGTGCCCTCATTGAGTTATTTGTTAAGTTTTCTGCCTAATATAATGTTGTAAACAGTGATGGGAATAACAGCGTTACAAGTAACACCGTTACTAACGGCATTACTTTTTTCAGTAACGAGTAATCTAACTAATTGCTATTTCTATCGTTACAACACTGTTACCGTTACTAACAAGAAAAATGCGGTGCGGATGCGTTACTATTTTTTCCATCTGTCTTCTGCTTACTGGGAGGTAGGAGGGCAAAAGAATCGCACGAGTGCTGCTGATTGGCTGGGTAAGAGTAAGGTAGTCATTGGAAAACCAATCGGGTGGTAGACTTGGGCAGATGTTCACATACAAACAGATAGCACAGTAACAAAAGTCAATGAATAATTCGAAGTTAGCATTTTTTTAAGTGGAGGTACAGACATTTTTCACTCAAAGAGATAAAAGGCAAGAATCTGTATGTAAAATGTAGCCTATGCCATGGAACAAAGTGCCTTTCCACATCAGTTACAAGCAATTCAAATCTTACGAAGCTCAACGTCACATGCTTCAACAAAACTGGTCGCCAAGAATGATGGTGTTGATGCTAGCAGGCACAGCTCAAACCCAGGTGAGGCTAACATGAGCTCAGCGAGCAATGGAGATGGAGTGACGCAATCCAAGCAGTCTAAGCTTGATTTCTCTTCTCCACAAACATCTATGACTGTGACACAGACTGAATTAAACAAATTGATAGCCAGGTATGTCGTTGAGAACATGCTGCCTTTATCAACAGTCGAGTCAGATTCCTTCAAGTCTCTTATTGCCAAGATACCAGCAACATTCACTCACACTATGGCATGTCCCACAAAATAACATCAACTGTGATGGACAATGGCTCTAATTTTGTCAAGGCCTTCAAAAAGTACCAGCCAGTTTAGCAGGATGACTCTGAGAATGATGAGGATGAGGTAACTTTTACAAACAGTGTTGGTGATGATAATGACAATGATGATAATGTAGGTGTGATGATCACTCTGCCGCCACACCAGAGATGTGCATCGCACACATTAAGTCTTGTTTCTTGTAATGATGTTGACAAGTGGCTACTTTCACAAACAGAAACAAAGGCAGTAGAAGTGCTACCACAAAGTGAACAGGGTTATGGAACAAGGCCAGTCGTTCAACAGTGGCTGCAGAGACAGTGGATGGCATTATTGGAAAGAAACTGCTAGTTCCTTGCACTACAAGATGGAATTTATTTTATGATTCCTTGCCTCAAATCTGTGAGATTTCTCTGGTTGAGCTGAACACCATCTTCTCCAAGTTTGGGTTAACCGCCATGACAGAGCGGGAACATCAGTTCATCAGGGAGTACTGCACTGCCATGAGGCCACTTACAGTGGACCTGGACATTCTTCAGGGAGAAGACAACACTTTTTATGGGATACTGCTACCCACACTGGAGACATTGATGTTTAAGACCCTGGAGTTGAGCACTGACCTGCAAATTCTTGAAAATCTTCCAGAGGCAGTCGTCACAGTAAGAACTTTAAAAAGAACAATTATGAAAAATTTAATGTCAAATGCAATATATTTTTAAAGATGCACATGATATATAATGTGGTGTGTGTGTTTATGTGTATGAATAGGTTGTATAATATATGCTTTACATACTTTACTTTCAGAAAACAAGATTTTCAGAGGTGTTGGAAAGTGAAGATGCTCTCTTGGCTGCTGTGACTCTGCCCAAGTTCAAACTACATTGGCTGCGGACACAGGAAAGGAAAGACAAGGCCAAGGCAAGTCTGCTGGCAGGGTGCCGGAAAATTGTCCTTGACAAAGACCAGCGAGCAGGTACCAGCACACCAACATGCCAACTTAGCACAGACTCAACCACAGAGGATGACTTTTTTTCCTTTGAAGATGAGGACGACACCTCTACTACTGCAGAAAGTCAAGTCATAGATTATTTCAAATCAGGATCACATGGAATGGACTCTCTGAATAGATATGTACTGATAAGGAATATTTCACTCAGATACAATGCAGCCACGCCATCCAGTGCCCCAGTAGACACAGTCTTTAGCCTTGGACTGTTTAGCTCGTCTTCTCTCCAAAGAGGAACAGACTCTCTGATGAGAAATATGAGAAGCTCCTTGTTTTGAGATACAACCACTGGTTTTTTAACGGCTAGGATGGATGGATGTGAGGGGTTTGTGGATGTGACAAATAAGAATTCTTCATGTTTTAAAAAAGCAGAGGACATACATATACATCTACTGCAAGAACTTCAAATAGATTGTAAATGGCCATGGAGTTGATACTTTGTATTACCTGATTACATTTTTATACCTTATAAAAACATTTTAGTTTTATTATACAGTGTACTTTTTCAGTATTAAATTGAAATCACCTCAACTATTTACTTTTGCGTTGAAGAAAATACTTGTTTAGCCAGAGTTCTCTAAAGTTGTTACAGTTTGGCTCATTTAATTTGCACTACATTGCTAAAAGCATAATTTAATTTAATACTTATTTGATAGTCAGCTGCAGCCTGTTTATGTTTTATTGTATTATTTATTACAATTTTTTTAAAAATAATTCTCTCTACAATTATAAAATATTATCTGATTGGTGTTTTGTTATATTATCACAGTAACATTTGAATAGTTTGTATACATATATGTTAATGTTTACTGTTAGTTATTTCTGTTAGGTGCTTATTTACTTCAATTATATATTTAGTTTTATAACAGAGAATTGCATATATGTTTTAGTATGTTCAAGTATGTTTAGTAATTTATTTTTTATTGTTTTAGTAACTTTGTTTAAGGCTGGATTCAAGTTGTTTTACATATTTAAACATTTTTTAAAGAAACACAATAGTTACTTTTCCTAGTAATTAATTACTTTTATGATATTGTAACTCAGTTACTATTTCAGTTACTTTTTTGAAGAAGTGACTAGTAACTGTAACTAATTACCTTTTCAAAGTAACTTGCCTAACACTGGTTGTAAATCATCGATCGTGGCTCAAGAGTTGGGAGTTCGCCTTGTAATTGGAAGGTTGCCGGTTCGAGCCCCGGCTTGGACAGTCTCGGTCGTTGTGTCCTTGGGCAAGACACTTCACCCGTTGCCTACTGGTGGTGGTCAGAGGGCCCGGTGGCGCCAGTGTCCGGCAGCCTCGCCTCTGTCAGTGCGCCCCAGGGTGGCTGTGGCTACAATGTAGCTTGCCATCACCAGTGTGTGAATGGGTGGATGACTGGATATGTAAAGCGCTTTGGGGTCCTTAGGGACTAGTAAAGCGCAATATAAATACAGGCCATTTACCATTTACCATTTACCATAACACATATATACACTAATAAAACAAATGATATATTTTACAGATGATTTTTTTACTGTATAACTCATATTAAGAACATATTATAACTGAGAGAGACTATGTGAGGCGATCACCTAGCATACATTGTCACCTAAGACTCTGAAACTGAAATGCTAATGCAGGGCCTAAACTTCTGCAATGTCTTTAACTGGGTATATATTATCTAGGATTTTAAAAGAAACTTTCTTAACTTTATTGCTTAAGCAAAATTTTCCTATATGTAGCCAAATTTAGTTCAGTTTAATTCCGTCTTTCCTGGGCTTTGCAGCACACCTCTTAGTATCGTGTCAAACACCACAGAATATTCTTTGGGGGTAATGGGTAAATTAAACTTTGATAAAAAGCACAAAAATTGCCTGTTTTGCAGATGGCAGTTGGTTATTTGTGAATCGCCTAGGCCTCACCCAGAGAACCACCATCGCCACTTCCAGGACAACTGGATGGGCCTGGCCCTTTCCACACGCCAGGGATCTTTATGATGTGGTGACTCGATGGCTACAACCTGGTCCCAGGTAAAGGGAGGCTGAGCTGGCTAAGCTCGTGGTGATGGAGCAATTCGTGGAGGGACTGCATTCATTTCTGGTCCATCAAACCCATCAAAGAGGCAGAGTGGGTGGAGGTTAGGTGTGTGCATGGGGACATTCATAAATATCTCATAGTACTGCCAGAAATGAACTACAAGGGCAAAACACAAAGAATTTAGGCCATGGTCAGAATCCCACCTGAAAAGAATTACCAACCAGCGCCAACACAGAGAGATGGAAAAAAGGGACAAGGGAGCAGGCGCGCAGGGAGGACCCTGGGGCTGGAACACACAGGCAACACATGTGAGGCAGATCAATGGAAAGAAAAGGGAAGGGGAGGGAGAGCCAAGTCGGAAAGAATCAAGCAGCCTCCGGCCCCACTGCCCCACGTATTCAGTGCCACTCTCGACCCACCTGGTGACAAGAGACAATACAGGAAAATAAAATAAACCTCCATATGACCAACCCACAAGTCTCGTAACCCCTATTCTCCCAGTTGATCCAGCAACGTGACTCCCCAACAGCATCCCAACCTGCCCTTAACACCTACAGAGAGTCCTACTGTGCATTACATAGATATAGTTATGAGTTAAATGTGTCAATGTGTGCTAAACTAGTACTGTGCATTAAAAGAATCAAGACAGGTGATGTCCAAAACCAACCCCACGTCAGACACGGAAGTGGAGTCAGAGCCACCAATCCTGACTGAGATCTTGAAACTGCAAAACAGAATTGAAGAGTTAACGATAGAGCAATATAGAGACCCAATTAGAATTAATGATATGCTTAGAAAGGACAATTAAGAATATCCATTGTGGAATTCGATCACAGGCAAAATCAGCTTTCTAGAGTCATATCTAATAAGTTAATGAATGGAGACCATGTTTCAATAAAGTGTGTCATACTTTTCTTTAAAGAGGCAGATACTCTTTCCATTGATATGTGCTCAATTAGGATATTCAACCAATGATTAATGCTCAGTGAATGTTTCTTTTTCCAGTTGATAAGTATTATTGGCTTTGAGTGTGGGTTTACCTTGTTTGGTTGGAAGACTAATTGAAGTTATGTGAATGAGTAAGCACAAATGAGGAAACAATGGGATTCTGCAGCCCAAGACAGAGGAAAGATTTTGAGTGCTGAACAGGTGAACACAGCCGTAGCGCATGAAAATATGTGCCTGCAGTGTTTTGAATACATTGAATACAAAGTCAAGCATGGAGATGGGTATGTATATTGATTTTGTGACAAAAATTTATTTATGTAGTTGAAAGAGAGTTTTTTTGTTTTTTGGGAAAAGAGGTGAGATGTCCTTTGCAAATGTAGGTGTTTGTACAGTTATGTGAAGCATAGGAAATCTTTTCTTAATTGCATTTTTAAGTTGTAGGTAGTAGAGAATATTTCTTTTGTCTAATATTTGAAACAGCTTAGAGACTGACATGAGCCTAGTATCTATAAAGGTGCACCTTTATAGATACTAGGCTCATGAGAAAAAAATCTCATGAGAAAAGAATCTCACATTTTCATCACATGTGATGAAAATGTGAGATTCTTTTCTTCTCCCATGTTCTAAAGTGAAGAGTTGCTCTGTTAATCTGAAAATCTGGATTGTGCCAAATTGGAGATTATGCCAAAGAATTGCAATCCCAAGGGTTTTCCATCAAGCTGTTGAGGTGGAGATCAACTGTTTTTTGAAACTGTTATTGCATTTAAAAGAGTAAGAGAGGAAATTTGAGGTTGTTACAATCTATTTGTTCTAATTCTATCCAGGAGTTGTGAACTGGATTTGAGTTAATCAGTTTCATATTATATGGTATCTGGTTAGCTAAATAGTAATGTAAAAAAAACAATGATGCCCCACCAGAGCCCTGTTACATTTGTTTTTCTGGAGAGTTGAGAAACCTTTTAGCTTTTCTGTTTTTCCAGTAGAATTTTATGATGTTGCAGATTTTAACATCCATGTAGTTGCTAAAAATAACCCCATCAGCACGGCATTTAATCTGTTATTAGACTCAACTATCTTCTCTCAAAATGGAAAAGAACCAGATTATTATCTTGTTAATAATTTTACCCCATCACTATATGTATGACTCTGGATACTGTAGCTCCTGTAAAAAAAGAGAGCCTCAAGTACTTGACTCCCTGGTATAACCCTCAAATGCACAACTTACAGCAGATAACTTTTAAGCTTGAGAGGAAATGATGTATCCCAAATTTAGAAGATCATCATTTGGCCTGAAAAAAATGGTTTGCTGCTTTATGAAAAAGCCCTCTGAAAAGCAAGAACATCTCAGTATTCATCACTGTTTGAAGAAAACCTTAGGTTTCTCTTCACGACTGTAGCCAGGCTAGAGAGAACCCCC